TCTTTTCACACTGTTGGTGATTTCTTTTGATGAAGCACCTTTTTTTAAGACAAGGCTTCAGTATGCAATTCAGGCTTACCTTGAACTCACTTTGTAGCCAAGTCTGACCTGAACTCAGTGATCCTCTTGCCTCAGCCTGCCAAGTGCTGAATTATAGGTGTGTACCACCACAGCCAGCCGCTAAGTACTTTAAAAAAAAAAAAAAAATACTACAGAAATTTTCTTCAGATCTACAGAAGCTTTAACAATTACAAAATATGATAACAAGGTCCAGAGCCAGACACCCTCAATGATGAAAATTAAGTTATAAGGATAAAGAATGTTAGATTGTTTTGATAAAGACAACTTAAAGGGCTTGACAAATATGATAAAGTTGTAAGATTTCCTAGAAAACTGTCCAAAAGAAAGGGTACTTTAAGTATATTACCTGCGATAAAAATTATTATAGCTCATTAAATTGTAACTCCTACATATACATGCATAGTTATTTGTTATAAACCATACACATTACTACTCATCTTTCTTGCAACTTTATATCCATAATAAAATTTTAGAAAATGTATACGGGAATTTTTTAAATACTCTATGAAGGCCTTTTATAACATCACAGGTCAGAAGTAGAAGCTATAATTCCAACTTATTTCTCATTGAGCCTTGCTTAACTAGAAAAAAGACTGTGTACGCATCTTCTTATAGAAGCTGAAGATTTTCCCAAAGATAAAAGCCACTTAAACAGAGCCGATAGATCAAATTCAAATAAGAGACTATATGCTCCCTCTGGCAGTTCATAAACACTACATCATAGCGCTTTTGGTTAGAACCAAAAAAACATAGTCTCCAGACCCAAGAAACTAGAAAATATAGCTTTTTTAAAAGATAAATTACTTTGGCTGTAGCATAACAGAACATTTGCCTAACATGTATGTAGTCCTAAATTTAATCACTAGTATAGCAAGACTTCAGTTAATACATTTTTATATCACTAGTATATTCTTTTAAAAAGCAAACCATATTATCTTAAAATAATACCCCTTTAATCATAGGCTTCATCAAAAAAAAAAAAAAGAAAGAAAGAAAGAAATGGCAACATGGCAAAGTTTTACTATCCTGAATGGGCGAGAAACTTCATTTCAATTACTTGGAAAAGTAACAAGCAATTTGGGGCAAACATCATCTCCAAGACCAATGATGATGAATAGCTTTTATGTACTAGAAACACTACATGTGTCTCACTGATGTGCCCCTAATCCACACATCCCACACTCATTTCTGCTCTTTTCACCTTTCCAAGTGCTGGTGGAAGGCTTTGTAGTGAAAGCAGAAATTTGCACAACCATATTACTGCATCTTCTTGTAACCAATCCATTATTGAGTAGGAAAATTATGACATCAACAATATATTAACCAATTATTTTTCTGCTGGTCTGCATGTACATATCTCTGACCAAATTTCAAAGTTAATTTATTGTTTTCTTACCATATCAGAGTAGGTATTTCATAAAATTAACTGTCATCATTTCCTACTAGAACTGATTTTGATATATTTTTGTTTGGCAACCTAAAAATGCAGAGAATAAATATGCTTACTTACTTGTTATGGTTTATGTCTGTGGCCCCCAGGCCTCACGAGTTTGAATTGTGCATTTGTTACTCCTTCATTGTCTAGTGCTTGGATTGATGGTGTCAGCACTCCACCTACATAGGGGTGGAGCCAGGATGTGATGTAATGGCAGGAAGGAGGTGTGCCTTGTTTTTTGCTGGTTCCTGTTTGCTGTTGGCAGCCTTCATGAACTGCAGCCCAGTCATGCCTGCCTCCCTTGGAGCCAACTGAGTGTGGACTGAAACCTCCAAAAACTGTAAGAAATAAACCTTTCCTTTCCCAACTTTGGGCTTCAGGTATTTTGTCTCAGCAAGGAGTAAAAAGTAACTAACACATTACTTGACTTCCATTTCAAATGCCAAATCCAAACATTATGCAGGATAACACCTGAGTACCAATGGGACAGGAAAATACTAATTTAAGAGTGTCATATTTGTGTCCTTATTAAACTTTCCTAAGCTTAATAAGCTTCTAAAACTGGCACATTATAGGAACTTCAATGCCGTTTTTCTGTATGCCTGTAAAGTATGTCTAGTAGTTGTATTTCAAATGCAGCAAGCCTTTAGTGCTACCCGAGGCAAGTGTGGGAGGAACAAGGTGGGAGATGGGAAGAAGTTCTAGTACAGTTCCTGTAACACCACAGAAAGTTGAGTTATCTGAAGCACTTTAGAAATAAAAAACTATAAACACATAATAATGTAAAAGACAATCTATACCTGTTTTCTCTACAATATATACAGTAGTAAAAGGAAATAAAGCTCTTCACCGTATTAACTACTGTCAACCATCAAAAAAGGAAAAATCTATTTCAAAATTTTAAATATAACAGAAAGTATTTAAACATAAGATCCCATAGATGGCAAACTAAAATATTCAATGTATATAGAAAATACAGAAAGTATTTAAACATAAGATCCCATAGATGGCAAACTAAAATATTCAATGTATATAGAAAATACGTGATCAAATTATCTCATATTTTTTCCATAAGCCAAACACAATGTTAGCTACCAAAAAAGCCAGAATGACCCACTGGCCTAAAATATTAAAAGAACAATTAGAATAATATTAAAGATGAATTACTTTATATCTAGAGGCCATGTGATTTTTTAAGTAAGTTATTGATTTTTATGGATAAGTATTGCCAAAAATGCTTATTTAGCCAAAAATTGATTTTGACTTTACCAGAGAAGAGAGAAAATATTTGTTTTCAAAGAATTCAAATTCTAAGAATAAGCATACTGTTTTAATACTCAGGAAAAATAAACACAATAATGAGGAAAGGATTCTTTGAAAGAGTATATATTTTTAGTGTAAGGATGAAATAAGTAATTCTTAATATCAGACTAACTCCTGTACTTACACAAAACTGAGTGGATTAACAGTTGACACACATTTGTTCATTTCTTTAAAATAACTATTATTTGTTTCTTAAAAACAAGTAAGCAAAAAATATAAGAACAGGTCACAAAGATGAAACAATAAGAGACACATTATTATTTGGTTTTAAGAAAATTATCTTAAAAAGAGAAAACTTCATGCTAAGTACAGTGGCATAAACTTGTCAATTTCTAAACCCAAAGACTGAGGCAGGAGGTTCCCAAGTTTCTGGCTAGTAAGACCCTGTCTATAAACAGAAAAAACTAAGAATGTATCTCACTGCTCCCTGGATTCAATCACTAATAAAAAAAAAAAAAAAAAAAAAAAAAACAAATAACAACATACTGAGAAAAATTCTTTGGGTCATGGCAGAACAGGAAAGGTTACTTTTAAACCAATATAATGTAATAGGTAAAAAAAAAAAATTTAGGATGGCAATAACATAGAAATATTTTATCTGTTTATACATTTTCTTATCCTAAATTTGGTCCATGACATCAGAGATCAATTTAGTACAGAGAATACCTGATAGTCAATTACAAACTGCAACTTAGCTGTTTGGCATGATTTAGTTTTGTTTGTTTTCTTTTATTTTTTAAGGCTGTGACAATTATCATAAACTTTTATATTGGTCCATCAAACTTAAAAAAATAACAGAGTAAACAAGCACAGCTGAGCATATATGAACAGGTCTAAATACACATAGAGTTTTGGGGGTTATCTGAACAACGTAAGGATCACCAGAATAATCACATCTGTTTATTACGTGTTTAAGTAATTAAGCAATCTTTGTAATTAACATACCCAAGTTCTCAAAAACAATTTGATGATTTTAACACCACTGTCAGAATTTCTTGCTACTTTACTGTCACTATAAAGAAATATAGTGTATTTCCTGGCATGAAGAATTATCATACATATTAAGTAAATGAGTAAACATTTCACAATAATTTTAAATGCAAATCTGCATTTACATATTTGTAAAAATAATTTCTATCTGTCCCTTTAATTCTGGCACTTTTCTCCACTACCCTCCACAATATCTACTTGTGAACACGCAGTTACGAAATGTAGGCTAATCTACAGTTTTCTATTTCCTCTTCTCCCCTCCAAATGGATGCAAAAAACAGCTCTTTAAAAATCATTCACTGCTCCCCATATCTCGCTGTGATACTACGATAATTGCTTAGGATTTCTCATTTCCTAAATTACTTCAATTTCTCTAACCACCTTACCATACACTAATGCAAATCTGTCTTTGCCACCCATTTTAACCTTAAAACTCAATTTCGTAAAAACCTGTGCTTATATAATGTGCAATTATTCATTTTAAAAAGATCAGCTATGTTGGGTATAACATATTCAAAAATAAGTTGTATTTTTCTCACCCACGATGAGTCCACAGACTACCATGCCAAACATAGAAAGATGACTTCTAATATTCAATGTTCTACATTGGTTCCAGGATAGCTTATTTTTCCTTGATTCTATCTATATACTGTAATGACTTTCTTTTCATATCTGATAAAATTATTCAAAATAGCTTTATCTTGCCCTTCAACTCTTACTGTGTCAGTACTGCATGCTTGACAAGGTGACTAGATGTTGAAGGATATTATGGTGACCAAAACAAGGTTATTACCCATTCTATCTGCTTCAAATACTGACTGCCCTTTTTAAGTGACTTGAGAATTCTTCTAAACTCAGTGACCTTTTAACTTTTTTATTCTCATTTATTATACTCCACAAAAAAATAGTAAAACACCCTACTGATTTGTCATCTCTATGACAACTGGTCATTTCCAGCAAACCCCAGACCGTAGGCCAAGAGGGGCTACAGCCCTAGGCCCTGAACTTTCAAAAGCTTGTATTGTTCTCTGACCCCCGTACCTCTTTATGCTGTTAAAATGCTGCCTACCCCAGGGCTCTGCTGACTCCTCTGAATTTTACCTCAGCAGATTCCCAAGACCCCCAACTGCATAGTAATGGGCTAACACTCTGGGGTCACAGGTATACTCACCTGTAGGTCCAGAAGGTTGTTGTCCAGGGATGGCTTACAAGAGGTGGACAGGGTTGTTTGGTGATTGGGCATATGGACATGCTATATCAAAGATCCTTGGATATATTGCCACTATATTCTAGAACAGAACTGAAAAATCTGAGAATTCTAAATGACATCCACCTCATAAAGCTGTATTGGTCAAGTTAAGAGGAAAATGCATTTTTAAGTTTTTCAGCTGATTTGCAACACTCCAGTATGTACAAATATAATTAGGTATACTTCTATTCATCTACTTATTCCTATTGATGTTAGGGATGGGCTTGATTTCCAAATCCTATTTCCACCCACTTAAATACTGATTACAATAACTGCATCGGTAGTGGTAGCAAATTTTACATTTTTAATACCACTCACTGTAAGTCTTAGTATAGTAACATGCATCCATCCCAGTGACAGCAAGTCTCTTAGAACTTATGATGACAGAAACAGCCTGCTGCAGTAAGTGTGCCACTGGTTTGCCAACACTGACCTAGCCTAGCCTGGGCTCCTTTACACTCCTTTGCAGTACCACCCTCCTAGTTGTTACCTACATTTTTCCATAAAATTGAATCCAACACAATGGCTGAATTGCAACGTAGGTTTTTCTCAATTAAACGGGTAAATTCTTAACTTTATACATCCTTTCATACAACTAAAAGGTTCACCTGACTGCAGTCATCTGTTTGTACTACACACATTTGCCAGATTAGTAATCCTAATGTGCCACTTTCACACTGGATGCTGTTTTTAAAAATTTAGTAGATGGTTATGTTCTTCAGTTAATTTCCATATCCTAAAGCTTTTCTTTTCCATTCCTCCTTTACTATTTCCAAAAAAAATCCAAACTCTATACCAAAATCATGCTTTCTTCTACCCTCAGTCATGTGCATACCTCCTCACAGCCAGTATAACACCACAACATTCAAAATTATAGTATATCTTCTCCATAAGATGTCCCTAACTATTGAAGTACAAAAGTTTTACATTTTTCAGTATCCTATTGATACTGACCAATCAACACATTATTCAGCCACATGCTTAGCAGAATGAGAACCACAAAACATATCACATACCTCATAAGTTCAAGTGATTTTATGGAGTTAATCTTGTTCGATGGTAATATCACAAAGACAGGTTAAGTATCTCTACAAATAAAATACCTGGCTCAAAATTCTGTCTTTATTATGTACTTTGATAGATTTTGATATTGTTTACATAGTATAGTAATAAATAGGTGTGTCTTTGTCGTTTTAGAACAGAGTTTTGATCCTGGAAACTACATATTTTAAATTTATTAAGAATCTCAAAGAACCTTCTGTGTTATAGCCACCTGTATACTAGTAAATACTTAACAAGCAAAACAAGCAACCTTTATCCCTCTCCCCTACTCCCTCAAAAAGCAGGATTTCTAGCTTCTGCTTATTTCCATGGCCTAAATATCCCCAGCATGGTGATTTGCAAGCTATCAATGTGACATCTTAAATCCCCAGTTAAAAGACATGACTAACTTTGGCTCTCTCAAACTGGTAAGCACAAGTTTCAGAACATCACTAGTTATACCAATCCATATGCATTGTATTAGAAAAGTGGAGAAACATAGTAGCTATTCATCAAGATTTTAAAATACATAACAGTAATACAAATCTTGTTGTAAAAAGACCTTAACAATTGAGAGGGTTTGGAATAGCTCAGTAGTTCAATTAGTTCTTATTACCTACCAATGATTTCAAAATGAAAAATTCTAACTTCACACTAAAGTCTTAGAAGTTCATATGTGTGTGGGTTTGTAGACTTACATATGTATATAAATGTGTATGCATACATATATTTTACCCCAACCACTCAAAGTGCTAAGAATATCAAGGAAAGAAAGCTAACTCCAAAGTAAAGAACACTTCCATATTTTGCAGAAAACAATTTACTGTAGTGATAAAAGTTTATATTGCTAATATCTAAATCTCCACTGAACCAAGCATAAAGGCTATAATTACGTTCTACATTTTTACAAGCAGACATCATACAAGTCAGTCACATATTCACTGACATCCAAAGTGGCTGCTATCAGAAAGCAATTACATTTTAATTCTGAAATTCAAACTTCCTGAATTAACTATTTTGGCAATATTTGATTCTTTAAAATGTCATTAAATATTTTAACAGTTTTAAGTACATAATCTTTACTCAGAAAAAATCCTTAGTTTGAAATGTGTACAATGGGCAGTAGCTGGTGGTTCTACTTGAGACAGTATCTGTATAATATTAAGTGCTTTTTCTTCTGGCTCTGAAAGTATCACTCTAGCCTGGCACTCTTCTTACTTAACGTATCAAGGCATTACATGGATTCTGTATATTTCTTTTCTTTTCCTTAAGACTGGACTGAAATTACTTTTCACAAAGAAATGAAAGAGATACCCAAGGCCTAACCTATCCCATTGGCTATTTTAAACTATTATCGTACTTCAAATCACTTCTATTCTTTTAAAAATTGTTCTCTTCTCATTAAATTTATGTTCATGTAAGCAACGCAAAATGTACTAAAATTTAAACACCATTTTAAAAAGATCAATAAGCATGTTAAACATTTTTAAAGAGGTAAACCAAAAAAGCACCAAAGGTAATCAGAGTTTCACGTGACTCTATTCCTGCCTTCCTTTTTCTCGACAGAAGCTACTATCATTTTTTGTTCTTCTATGTTAACAATGACAGGTACTAAGACAAACCTGGGCAATTAAGTCACTTCTGCACTTACAGATTTTTCCATGGGAAAAAAATCAGACAAGAGGCTAAGCTTCATTGTACACATTTACTAAAGAACTAAATTTGCGCTCTCCTTTAAATACTGCCCTTTGTGTAGGGTAGTATTATACATGTTTATGAATACTTTATTGCTCTAAAAATCTCTTAAAAATTCTGTCCCAAGACTTTACTCTGTGAATGGAAGGGTCACTTTATACAAGTTTGCTCAACTACTTTGAAGGCAATAAGATTCACTAAGATACCCATTCTGGTTTGACTATTGTCTTCTTTGGAAGTCCTGTAATGTTTACAATGCCTAAGTTTTATTGGTCTTGTTCTCTACTGTTTTGTCCAACTTTATAATATCTAATGAGATAGACAATTCTTTTTAAGGAAACAAGAGACAACATTGATAACCATTGTTGATAACCTTGTACTCTGTTCTACACCATGTGCTATGTCTATCCTTGGTTTTGACTGACAGCTTTGTTTTGCCATATTTGACTGTATTCTCTCCCCCCCAAAAAAAGTAATAAGCACTAAGGAGTAATAAAATCCAAAATGTGTAAATTTTGTTGTAAAAAAGAGAGGGGAAAAAAAAAGAAAAAAAAAAAAAGAAAAAGAGCTCTAACGGATATAACAGCAAGTGTGTTTAGGGGTGTTGAATAGCTGACTATATCAATGTTTTTGGATCATTGAACACAGCTGTTTGCAGTCTCCCTGTTTGAATGTCCACCTTGTATTCTTTGATACTGTGATTTGAGCAACTATTTTCAAGATGATAATATGTAATCTACTAACAGGTGATTTCTTACTGTTATGTTTTTTTTTTTTTTTTTGTAGTTCTGTATTACGTGTACCCTTACACTGCTTTGTTTTGTTTTGTGTTTTTCTCTTTTTCCTCTTAAATAAAAAAAAAAAAGAATTCCTAATTACTGATCAACACTAAACATAACTTTATAATACATAGCATCTCTTTAAAAACTATTCTTATTTTTTATTAAGTCCAGTTCCATGTTACTGTTTTTAGTTGCTACCCTTTCCTGTGAAATTCTCTTCATGTCCTACACAACAATTAAGCCAGAAAAAGGAAAATGGCAGTGACAGCTGAGAGTTACAAGTGGTTAATTCTAGAATGTCATGCTAAACTTTTTAAATGCACTCACCTCATTTCATCTTCATTTTTCATTTTATAATTCTACTGAGTACTTAATAGCCCTATTTTTACATAAAAGAAATCTGGAACCACAGCAGCTAAGGAATTTAGTTAAGCATAATTAGCTCTCAAATGACTAAACTAGGATTTGAACTCAGGTTTCTTATTCAAAGGACTAGGAATCATTTTCCCTCCTAATAGTTCTACAAGCCAAAATACTTATACTTACTCACTTATTATATGTGCATCATATACTTAAGACTCATTTTTAAGTAAAAATGTAAATTGTGAGTATCTGTGTGTGACATAGCAATTTGGGTCTTTGTGAAACTCTTACAGTTCCATGCGAATACTAGGATAATTTTTTATTAATAGTGATAATCCTAACAAAAATCTGAGACGTAATCTTCCATAAATCACCTTCATATTAAACATGTGCTTCTTGTGTAAGATGTGCGATTTGATGACAGTTCTGCCAAAAGTCAACAGATTCAATGAATTTTCAAGGAAAATCCGATTCAGTTATTTTTTGGCTATTGACAAGCTATGAACTTTATATGTGGAAGCAAAAGATTTAAGATAACCAACTCAAATTACTAGAGGAGAAGAACAAAAATAAAGAACTGACACTGACTTCAAGACAAATCAAACAGTATCAGGTAATCAAACAGAATAATACTAGCAAAAGAGTAAATACATAGATCAATGAATCAGAATAGAAAATCCTGAAATAGATTTTAACAAAGAACAAACGTAAGGAAAGACAGTCTCCTTAGCAAATGATATTGGGACAATAGGGAAACCATATTCTGAAAAAAGAATCTGGACAGGTATTTTACACTCTCAACAAAAAGGAAGTCAGAATAGTTGACAAACCTAAATAGAAAGTTTAAAAATACAAAACTTCTAGAAGATAACACAGCAGAAAACTTAGGTGACCCTAACTGGGTGATGATTCTTTAGATCAAATACAAAAGACATAATTCATGAAAGAAAAACTGATTAAGCCAGACCTCACTAAACTAAAACTTCTGCTCTGTAAAATACAGTATCGAAAGAATAAGACCTAACACAAACTAGGAGAAAATGTTTGCAAGATACATCTGACAAGTAAGATACAAAATCTATAAAGAGCTTGTTTTAAAATTTACAGTTGAAAAATTACTATGCAATTTAAAAATGAGTCAAATACCTTAACAGATATTAAAAAATGAGATGATAAGAAATTGCATTCCAAAGGTGCTATGTGTATTATATGACATTAGAAAAATGAAAATACAATGAGACATAACTGCACAGTTATTACAGTGGCCAAAATACAGAACACTAACAATATGAGTGTTGGCCACAATGTGGACCAACAAAACCTCTCATGCTTTACTCATCAGAATGAAAATATTACAGCTACTTTAGAAGACTGTATGGTAGCTTCTTACTAAACTAATCATATATATTTTTTAATTTTAATGTAGTACTAGGGATTGAACATAGGGCCTTCACAGTGGGATATATATCCAGACATTCTTTTTTAAAAACTAAGTGTTTTTTATTGTTTTGCTGCTGTTTTGAGTTGTTTTGTTTTGTTGAGAATGTGTCTTGGTAGATCACTAATTTGCCCAGGCTGGTCTCAAACTTGTGATCTTCCTGTCTCAGTTTCCCAGAATCCTTGAATTAAACATACTCTTACCATATTATCTAGCAACTGTGTTTCTTGGTATTTACCCAAAAAAAATTTAAAAATAATATATAAGAAAAAAATCTGAATGTGGGTGTTTATAGAAACTTTATTAGAAACTCTTAAGACTTGAAAGTAACCAAGACATCTTTCAGTAGAGGACTTGCTAAACTGTGATTCAGACAGTGGAATACTATGCAGCACTTAAAAGAAAATTTCAAGACATGAAAGGAAAACTGAATTCATATTACTGAAAGCAGCCATTCTGAAAATAACTATATACTTTCAACAATATTACAGTCCAAAAGGAAAATCCATGGAGACAAGGGAAAGGATATTGATCGATAGTGACTAGGCAGTAGGTAGGCATGAATAGCAGGCCAAAACGATTTTTAGGGTAGAGAATTCTATATATGATATTCTAATGACAAGTATATAACACTGCTTATTTCTCTAAATACAAAATGTACAACACCAAGACTAAATCTAAATGTAAACTGAATTCTGAGTAATAATGATGTGTTAAGTGAATTCACCATTTTAAACGAATTTACCAATCTGGGGAACATGTTGACAGTGAAGGGTATGGGTATATTATATATACCTATGGGTATATTATATATACATAATATATATGTGCGGGTATGGGTATATTAAAAAACCTCTATACCTTTCACTCAATTGTATTGTACCCTAAAGTAACTGCACTTTAAAAAAATAAAGTCTATAAAAGTCAAATATAAAAAAGTGAGACTAATTTACAGTATATCTCATGATACAGAAGATAGGAAAAGTTATGAACTATTACAATGTATATCAAATCAGACTACTACTTAATGTTCAACTGCAATAAAGGACTATGCTACATAGTTATTACATAAGTCACTATATAACAAAGCAAAAGAATTACAGTTGAAGGTAACTACAGCCATAAAACAGATTTTTCTCTAGATAAGCAAGCAACTGTTATAAAAATTATGCCTAAATTTCAAGTATTATAATTATTGTGGCTCTATTATTAAACTATTACAGGATAAAGACCATTAATAATTTTTCAGAAATTAATTACTTGGTTGTAAAAATTTTCAAAAGTTGAGTAATACCTGCTAGTACTTATACTGAATTGGAACAGAAATTCATCAAGTAGGGGGGAAATTTCTTGGGGGAAATCACACATATCTCTAGATCTATGTTGCCTCATAATAAATCCCCTAGTAGGAAGATAGTGTGATATTAGGTGGTTGTGTATCAAAATATCTCAACAAGGAAAATGCCACCATTTGTAGGCCATTATATGCATGTGAAGGAGCATTCCATTCAGTCACAGATAAACATCTCTACCAAAAGCAAATTTGTTTTTAAAAAAGTAGCTTATACTATATATTTTCTTGTTCTATGCCATGAGCTTGCTTACGAGGCTGATTTTACCTTTAGCTGAAGCCGTGTATTTTCTAATCTGTTTAGGGAAGCTGTCAAGTAATCAGAGTAAGCAATACCATTTAATAAGGAAGTCTTTTAATGAAATATAATAGGTCACAAATACTTAATTTATACTCTTTACTATAATTGTCAGCCTTTACTACAACTGCCACTTTAACAATCTTTTCCAAATGTGAACACAAAGGATGAACAAACCAAGGGTATTAGCATGTGTGTATGTTTACAGCTGACTCCTGTCAAAGGCTTAGTTCCCCTTCCAACTCCAATGTATGAGCGTCTGTTTCTTTTGGTACAAGCATCCTGTTTTAGGTTGTGGATATATCTGAATTAATTTCCTTCTCAGAGCTACATGATAAAACACATTCTACAAGATACACAGGAGAAAGGCTGACCAAGTTATGGCACAAGGTTACACCTTTAGAAATATTACAGGATTTTTTACTATTACTTCCGCATTCCACATTTTGTCTCTTTATTCTTTATTAAATCTGTTCCAATGCTTATTAGTTTATAATTTCAAAAAACATTCATATAAGTTTAAAATAGCCTCTCATACATCAATTTTTTCTTTTACAATTATCTTTATATAAACACCTACCAAAATCACATACATAAAACTACAAGGAATTACTTTAAAACAAACATAGAGGATCTTCAAGAGAAGCATCACGACTTTTTTTAAGTACCTTTTGATTATTTTGTTACACTCCAATTTTATGATAAACTATTTTAAAAATACTCCTCTAAAAACATATTTAGATGATACTCCTTTTAACTTTTTATTTTCAGCATATTATTAACCAATGGCTCTTAAAATGTGGTACTGATATTGTTAAATACTAGAACACCTATGCATAAACAGTAGTAGTTTTACAAAAAGTTGTCCATTTCTTAAAAGCTAAGCTTCTCTAAATCAAACTAGCTTACTGTGAAAAGAAAACCATGACAACTGTTTGTACCTCTTGCTTTATTATTATATCCGGCCTGGTCAGTCTCAGAAATTCAATCTATTATGGTTGCTAGGAGTCTGTTGCTGTGCAACCTAAAAGGGTATGCTGTGCTTTCAAGCTAAGAAGTGCTAATAAACCTGTAGTTTCCCTCTGTGGGGCTGACCAGTGTGTTTAAAGGGCTTAATACTTCTCAAGAGTGATTGGCCCACAATTCAAGACACATCCTATTAAAAAGTCACACTGAGAGATTTCTAACAAAGGGACAAAATGCTAAACCTACACAAATATTCAAAATGTATCCTTAGAATCCCTAACTAATTTGGTAAAACAAAGAACAGATTATGATGCACATTTTAATTATACGACCTCTCATTCCCTAGTTTTTTGGTTGTTTTGTTTTTTCCAGACAGTGTCCTAAAAGGTTATAACGACAGAAATGAACTGGGCAAGTTTCAGGGGAGAAAAAGTGTGGACTAAGTACCATCAACTTGGATTTTTAAAAATCCATATTGTATTTACATAAATTATGTTGTATTTACATAAACTCAAAATTTAGGATGCAAATGTTATGAAGTTAGAAGAAATAAATTATTGAACAAAAAAATTCTAAATTATAAAAGTTGATTTTTTGTTAATCCAATTTGTTCAATGGTTTTATATTTATTCTAAAGTCTATTCTATCCTATCAAATGCCTATTCTATAATTTTAAAGATTAGCATTAAAAAGTCATATACACTCACTACAATTAGCATTAGTTGAATGTAAATGAAAAGAGAAGCGTGGAGTCTATTAATAAAATAACCTTAATCAAATTGTGTGAAACAATTTGAAAAGTGGCAGAGATTAAGGGAGGACAACTAATTTCTTTTTAAAAAAGCAACTGTGTTCACTTTTTGATTATAATGATAGGCCTTTTTCATAAATTGTTCAAAGGAAAAGATAAAGCTACTGTACCATAAAATACAAAAGACCACACAAGAAAACAAAAATAAGTGATTTAACAATAATTAGCCTAACTATGAAAATCTGCTCAACTTTTCAAAAATATCCTGGCTGTATTAATATTGCCTGCAGTTTGCAAGTTAAAAGTAAACTTAAAAAAAAAAAAAATCTATCATGTTTTCCATAATCATGGCAACCTTTAGCTCTTCTAAATTACTCTGAGCTAGGAATACTAATCTGCCAACTGTACTACTTTTTTTTAAAGACCCATAGTTATCTATCCTCCAAAGATTGTTTTTATTTCTTCTCAGTACACACCATACATAGGAAGCAGAGGAAATTATTTCTCTAAAAGTACCCAAAAGCAACATATAAAAGAATGTGGAACAACTATCCAAAACTGAAAACAACAGAGTCCAGTAATATGTAAGAACTAAAGCAGGATGAATGATGCAAAGGTAACATCTGACCAAAGAATGTAGGCTAAAGCAAGAAGAGAATGGGTTGGCTAAAAAAAACAGCTAAGTAAAGGCAAGCAGAGCAGAAGAGATCAAATAGAAGAAAGGGGGCAGAAACATTATAAAAGTTAACAATGTGTTAGAGAACTAAGAGGAACTGCAGGAAGAAACACTAGGATTCATTTTACAGATACAAAGATGAAGGAAAACACAAACATGAAAACCTATATACATAATTTTATATTCATTGACCCCATCCATATTTCTTAGTAAAATGTCCAACAACTTAGGAAAAATTGTTTTAAAAGATTCCATGTTGTTTTCTACTTATAATGTAAAATTCAAGTAATTAGTAACTTACAGAATCCACTTAATTTTACAAAGATATAATCTGAATACTTTCCAATTCTCATATGAGAGAATTTTAAATTAAGTTGAAGAGCCTAAAGTACAAAAATCTTTTAATTATTAATAATTTTATTTTTTTCCTCACATTGGACCAAAGAATAAAAACATATACACAGAATCGTCAAAAAAGGTTATAAAGTCAAAAACCAACTTATATTATTCCCAGGGCATGTAATAGGTAAATGTACTCACTTCTAAAGAACCTGCTTAATATCTGTTTATTTATTAGTAAAATGCATTTAATAATTTTAATCTGATCAATAAAAATCTTATCTGAAAGAAAGTTCTAAGCTGGTTATACTAATACTTAGGATGCTGTCAGGTAATGCTAACCAGAAAGACAGTGGTATAAAAATTAAACCAATGAGTGTGGATATGCCATACTGGAATTACTATTGGAAAGTGCCATCTGTTATTCACTCAGTCCTTGACTCTTCAAAGATACCAAGTTGCTATATAATCATAAAATGTGGATTACTTAAAAGAAACTACAGACTATATAGCTACAGAGGATAACGTATTCAACAACACAATTATGCCTATTCTTTGCAAATTCCAGTTTTTTTGCATTTACATCTTTTCCAAACACTCATCTTTCAAGACAAAACACAAAAAAAGCTTTCAAATCAAAGGTCTTCAATAAATGCTACTAAATAGAACTGAGTTCTGATTATTTTTTAATTTCATAATTTTTGAAATATAGTATCACATGATTTAGAGTTGTTAACCAATTACTTGTAAGAAATTCTTTTAGTATCTTACCACAAAAAGGGAAAAAAAATCATTATGAGGGCTATAAATACCTTTCTCTTGAGAACATTTCCTTATTTTGTTTCTTCAAATTGTTTTAATAACTCTATTAGCAAAGGTCAAAATAGGAGGCTGATGAACAGTCCTTAATAATAAAATTTATAAAATAAATGACATAAACTGAAATCTCAATTAAAATGTTATTTTAAAATTTCTAAAATAAAACCCACTTTCACTATTCAACAACTACTATTCGTTTTTACACATTTAAAAGTTTAAAGATACTGATCAATAATTTTTGAAACGCAAAATTGAAGACACTAAAAAGCCACCTTGAAGTAAATCCTATAAATCCAAGGAATAATTTCAGTTTGCAATGCATTATAAATGCCACAAACCTCAAATACCTATTCACAATTTATGTTAAAATACATACAAAACTCTTTAAAAAACACAAAAGCCAATAAAAAAGAGGTAAACATGACCTGCTCAGTGAATACTAGCATATAACCATTTTATACTAAACTCAAAAAACTGTATTTAATTCAAATCAAAATGTGAGGCTTGCAGTATGATAGCTGCACAACTCAACACCTTACACCCTATGGCTAATAAATTAACAAATTTTTAGTCTAGGGTCATACCACCCTGAACCAGTTCTCATCTGACCTCACCCACCAGCTCTCATCTGACCTCAGAAGTTACGCAGGATCGGGCCTGGTTAGTCCCTCGATGGGAGAAACTAACAAATTTGTATTTCATGATTTTTTCTTTTTCACTCATCCTCCAACCTTAGGGGAGATGACACAACATGCAACACAAAGCAATATACTAACACTCTGAGTTCTAACTCTCGGCTTGTGCTGAAGTTTTTTCCCCCACAAGTAAAAAGTGAAAGGAGCACTGTAATAATCAGATAATTGAGGGGTAAAAAGTTATGTCCGAAACAAGATTAACCATGAGTTGTTAACTATGAAAGCAGAGTAAAGATGAGAATTTGATTCATTTTTTCATCAGACTGCTCTGTTGCTGCAGTGTGTTTAAATCTGTCCTGACAAAAAAAAAGGTGGGGATTAAGAGAATGAACTCAACACTCTCCAAAGTCTCTTATACTTCTCAATTTTTTTTCACAAACATGATTGTGGTATACATTAGTGGTACTAAATTTGGCTTCTTTAATTATTTATTTAATGTTTAAAATAACAAGCTATTTACATCCCAGAGACTCTGTTCCACAAGTGGCTAAAATATGTGTACAGCTGACTCACTTCAGATACAAATGTCTGTGCAAATTTGCAAGTAAAATATTCAATAGGCCTTTAACAGTGGAAATCAAGATTAAAAATTAGTGCTGTATATATGGTTATGACACTTAAAACAGAGAAAGGTAGTGTTTTCTTTTAAGGTTCCACAGAAATTTTTACTTCTCTAACTTAAATACATATTTTATATTAATTATATCTGTCCCACTTTTGAAATTTTTCAATATAGTACAACAGCCTCAAATGTGAAACTTTGTATTTCACAGCAGATTATGGGCAAATAATACTGGATATTTGAGACAAATTAAAATGGAAAATATGATTTTGACATTAGTATACTGAATATTCCATTCTAAAAATATCACTAAGACAATGTATTTGTCAAAATAACTATTTAAGACAATTTACCTCCATTAGCAACTTTTATTTATCTAAATAACCCTTTATGTCTTTCTACATATACAAAATTTTTTAAGTAAGTTAAAGTCAAAAACTGTAGTTAAGGTTGACTACATAATATTTATGCTATATAAACAATGATTCTAATTTCGCATCTTCTGAGACACGGAAGAGTAATTTTATAATACAAGTTATATGCAAAGATTCCATCTGCAATTTAAATTAGCCATAAGCAAACAGAGAGTATAAACAATCAAATTGTAGTCTGGCTTATTCTAATTTTTACCTGTCAATTAATTATTATCCTTGTGCTTAATACTTCAAATATAAAATCTGCTCACTTGTTAGGATTATGTTCTAGTAACAGTCATAACTTACATAAGAACCTCCAACTTCAAAGCAGGTAGTGTGGACTTGAAGGATATAATTTTGAAAGTCCCTCAATCTGCCTGTTTCCTTATAGAAAATCATTGATCTCATCAACACATCTCACAAAACAAATACACACACAAGCAATATATTCAGAGAAAGGCATACAAAAATGACAAAAGGGGGAAAAGAATAAAGCAGAAAACTGCTATGTAAGGACCACCGTGAGGGGAAAGATAGGATTTCCTATTATAGAAGGAATGCTAGCATCAAAAGTATCAGTATTGTATTTAAATATACAAAAATTCACCTCCATGTCTTTGCGGAAATATTATCTTCTCTACAGACTTTTTAATCACCCTATTTAAAACTGCAACTTTATCTACTCCCATCACCTAGCTTCTCTACCCTCTTTTTTTTCCACAGCATTTATAACAATATTATAATGCATACTAAATTATTCTCCCTCTTTCTTCCTCAACTGTCTGAACACGAGCTCCTTGAGCAGAGTCTTAATCAGTTTTGTTCATTGTTGTGGCTTCTACCATAGCTCACTTCTTGGCACATACTGTATGGGCTCAACAAAAGAATGAATGAACATAAAAAGTGAAAATGATCACATATACTTAAACTTATTATGGAAATTGAAGAGCACCTCCGGAGTCTGCAAAGTTAAAAGTGACTTCAAAATTGCTAGTAAATTTAGCAAACTTAGTACTTTAAGAAATGGTACAAAATGAAAATACACTTACTAAAAACAGTCATGTGTAGGTATAGATATATATATATATACCATAATTTATTTCAGTTGGTGGCCTATTGTTGATTATTCCATTTTTCTGGCTTTTCACTGTTATGACTATGCTATGTCTATTTAATTTATATTTCTTTTAAAATTTGCTTATGTCCTTTGCCATTTTTACTTTCTGAGGTAGTTTTAGAATTTTCTTATCTATAACATCATGTAATATATGAAGAAATTTTTGCTTTGGTCATCAGACAAAAGTATTTTTTAGTTGACCTTTTAGCTTCACTTATGGGGCCTTTCAAAGAAGTCAGTATTTTGTATGTAGTCAAATTAATTATTTCCTTGCTTTATAATTTCTGCTCTTTGTATCATGCTGTCCCTAGTTTGTATAAATGTTAATCTTTAATATCCTAATTTCCTAATAAACAAATAAATATAAAAAGGTTACATGGGTTTATGGAAGACAGAGCCCTATGAAAACAAAACATTTCCAGGATAAAGTGTCTGTAGTGGATGCCAAACCAGATAATATGACCTTTTTATAGTGTAACTCTAACTGAAATGTCACAAATATAGCCAGAGATCTGATTACTGTAGAAATTCCATTCTTGTATCACCAGTTATGTTGGCATAAACCTAGAAATACTGATCCTGGACTTTTAACATCCCAGTGAGTATAGTGAAGTTAGGTTGCAAAAAGAAAAAATACAAGAGCTCTGGACTATTCAAATATCCCCAAAAAGTGAAGTTTTCTTAACATCCCAATGTCTTCCATGATAAGCAGCAGTAGCAATTCTGATCCTTACTGCATCTTAAAAAAAAAAAAAAGAACGTACTAGATTGGATAAGGTAGTCCTCTAACTTAACGCTAAAAAGATCCTATGCAAATCACAAAATTCACACAGATAAACAAACAGGGACAAGTGAAACTCATATATAGTACACAGGTTATATATCGTCTCTTGAAAAGAGGAAAGGAAACTTTTACTGGTGTCAACCCATATGTACTACTACCTAGATGCTCCTCTATATTAAACAAAATATATAAAAGTCATTAATCCTTGGAGTTAAATGTTTTAAATAAAAGAAAATAAATCCAATGCCAATAATAAAACTGTGGTGTTGTAATGGTCATTACAAAACTACAAAATACTTAAAAATGTTTTCTTTAATTAAATTATAAGGCTAGTGAAGAATTATTCACTAATTACTTCTAATAAGAAAGTAGATTTATGCTGAGTTGAAAAATCTATTACATACACTTCTGCCCTCACAAAGCTTACAATTTGAAGAGACTAAACATTTAACAATAAACAAAAATCTTAATAACTTCCAGTCAGTAGCAGAGATAATTTAAGAAAATAATTAGAAGTGCAGGAACCAAGTTAGAGAACCACTCCAACTTCTCCTAATACCTTTAAGCTAGTTTCCCAGGGCTTCACACATGCTAGGCTAGCACTCTTTCATTGAGTTACATCCTCTGCAAGAAAACTAATGTTGGCAGACAGAAATTCACATAGGACGGAAAACATATTCTAAGTAGAAAAAAAAAAAAATGAGAACCAAGAGTTACAGAAATGATACAATGATTTCTGGCAACTATATAAAATAGTAATAGCAATTACTGAGCCGTTACATGAGGTGCATCACTGCTTTTGCCTATGTCATACAATGTGATCTTTGAAACATTCTTCTTTAAGGCTGATTTTACTGGTCCTGTTTTACAGAGCTTAAGTATTCTGTCCTGGTAAAACTTCCAGGCTGTAACAGAGCTGGAATCTAAACTCATGAATTTTAAAGTTCATGCTCTTAACCAATACACAATACCACAAGCCTGGCTGGCCAGAAATAAAGAGTTATGGAGTAAAGTGACAGAGTTTAGATTTTAAAATGGACATGAAAGTAGCCTTCCAAATGGTATATGCTAAGTAGTTTTGTGACATAGTATGACACTAAACATTTCTTAAATGATTCTGAACAGGAAATGAAGAATTCTGGAAAGTTCTGACCTAGAGAAACATAAAACTCTTAAGGGTTCATTTTTAAAACCTAAAAACCTTCTTTTTAGATTGTTACTCCAAAATAAAATAATTTACACAAAAATTATGGATTATAACATTTTAAAATACTAACATTCCACTCTACATTTAAGATTCTTCCTCATTATGTCCAGTAAGTACAGCAGTCTAGAATTGTTACTCTAATAACTGAATCACTATATCCAAATCTGAATTTAGGCACCGAAAGTAGTTAGCACATTCTGTTCATCTGAAATACAAGTTCAACATTTGTATTTTCTGTTCTGTTTTAAGGGATAGTATGTATATCAGCACATCAGAAATACAGTTAAATTTAAATCACATGATGCCTCCCGCATCCATTATGATTAATAGAAAGCAAAAGCAATGTAAAAGATTATATATTCTGAGCTTACTAATTCACATAAAACAGTAACACTTTTTTTTTTAAAGAAAAATGATGAGGTGTAGTGGTTTACACCTAGAAATCCAACTACTCAGAAGGCTGAGCCATGAGTCTCTGAGTTCAAGGCCAGTCTGGACACTTCAACAAGACACTGTCTCAAAATAAAAAGAGCTGGGCATGTAACTGTGTGATAATTCACTTGTTTACCATGTGTGAAAACCTGAGTTCAGTCTCTCCAACAATACACACGTGAGAGAGCAAGAGTAACAGAGCCAGAAAGAGAGGAAGGGAGAAAGAACAAGCCAATAAATAAAAATAACTTGTAGGCAAAAGTGCAAGAGCTACCTAATATTTCATCATACCATTGTTTATCATATCTCCATTTTTATTGAAGGTGAGGATAAATCCAATGGGAACAGTCTTACAAGAAGGTTTGTCTGTGGGGATTTACCTTGTTAAGGACAAATGACAAATGGGTTCCCCCAAAGGAAACTTACTCCTGTTTTATATAAATACATCTTTTTAGATTTGGCACCACAAATAATACTGAAGAAAGCATCACATTATGCTGGCAAATTCAACTGTCATTATTTCTGTGTCTCACAGACAAATTGTTTTAAAAAATTTAACAGTTTTAGCATTCAAACAGTTCGTCCCTACCATGGAAAGAATACCAGAATTAAGTCTAAATGGGAACTCACTGATTTACTTCCAACACACACCTACAGGCGCATACACACACACACCAAAAATCTTAATACATAATTATTTCTTTGAACCACATAGCCTCATAGTACTACAAATCTGTAAATAAATCTTTCCCAAAACTCAAATTAAGAACACTAAGTCATACAATAGCATGGTTGCTGTTATTGCTCCTAGTTGCTACGGAATGAACGACAGTCCATTCACATATTTAGTCTGTTGGAGCATTCATACTCAACAGTGCTGCAACACCTTCAAAACCCAAGTAGGCAAGTCTCAGCTTGTATCACCTGTATCAGCTGCGATTATTTCATTTTTGCTCCAGAGAGTAATCTACAGAACAAATGCTTCCGTTTTTTAAAAATAAGTGAATTTTTACAATTGCCATAATTGTAAGAATTAGTCTTTACAAACAGTAACGGGGGATTGGGGACATATCTCAGTGGTAGAGTGCAGCGTTCAATTCCTAACACACACACACACACACACACACACACACAGAAAGATGTATATGCCAGCCCTCGGAATTATGTACACTGAAACACTGATTATAACATGTATCAGTCACACCCAGTAATACAGGGATAAAAATATTTTTTATTTCATTAAAAATAAAAATATAGCAAGTATGGCATTTCCCCTCAGTATAAAAGCCTGTTTATGGTTTTGGAAAGTAATTTAAAATTTTATTACTACATTGTCTCTAAAACAACAATAACATATATACCAAATATTAGTTGGAAATAATATAAAATATTCAAACTCTGAACACAGAATTATAAAACTTTAATACTTTCTCTAGAAAAATTTGATCAAAATTATAAAGTAACAAGTATGTTAAGTACTAAAAGAAGCACATTCACATTGTTGCTGTTTAAGAAAAGTTTTGCATTAGCTATAAGACAAAGCCATTTGTGCCATTTGAAAGGATGTGTAACCCTACTAATACACCTGTTCAATGCTAATATCTCTTCTGTTGCCTTCTGGCTATAACTATGTGGTTAGGGTTGGCTGTGCTGGGCCAGGTATAGCTAAGGGGCAAATGAAAACAGTAGTAGAATAGGAAATCTTAGAGGAAGAAAGGCTGAAATTGAGCAATTAAGGAAAGTAAACATACAGTTGACTGCGCCAGAACCAAAAGCTTAGATGCTATGCAAATAAGGGTGTGTTCTAAAATATAGGTCAATATTTGGATAAAGCTCTCCTTTACTTATGAATACAAGCATATAGCATCAAAAGTACAGAAAATATTACATGGAATGTAAAATTTTAAAGACCAAATAAATTCTTAGTTTTAAGAATAAGTTAAAAAAAAAGAAAAAGTTAATACAAATAATGGTTACGTTGACATTGTATTAAATTCACAACAAAACTTCTATAAATGTTACTGAAATTAACATATTCCATGATCTTTTATTTTGCAGGGTTGCATTTATGTTTTTTTCAAACACTGTTTAGTGCATTAAACTTTATACTGGTGTTTTCTTCCTATATTAACTCTTGTATCTTATGGAAAACATGAAAAATCTGATACACAAGATCACTTAACATAGATATTTTCCAATGACAAAAAAAAAAAAAATTAGTGACCCTCTCAGGGGAAAAAATGGTTGTTTTGGGATAAGATCATTTAATTAGAGTATAGCTTTAAAGATACTAAATTCAAACATATTAAACTGCGTTTCAATATCAGATTAGTGTATCAGCTCTTGGATATTCTTCCTTTATGTCTTATTACAAACAGACTATGTCCCACTAACTGAACAGCTAACTGAAGGGAACGTTCCAGAATTGATTTTCATCCTCAAATTACAATAGCTCTTAACTTTTTACTCAAACTTATCTACAAAGAAAAGACAGATAAAAGATTAATTCCATTTAACCTATGAATTATAGTCAAGAAGTTTTGTTGTTGTTGCTGTTGCTGTGTTTTTTAACTATGTCCTGTAGACATAGGTTTCTGTTCTTATCTTTGTGCTTACTCCTTTTTTGTATAAATGTGATTCTAAAGAGAGAAGTTTGGATTACTGAACAAAACACACGACCAGGAAGCGATAACAAAATTTACACTTTAATACAATACTGACAGGATAGAGTATCAATATCAGTCACCTTTACATATTTTGTCCTGAATATAAAGTAAGCATTGTTTCCAATCTACACTGAAGAATTTGTTCTTAATCTAAGAGTTTAATATTCACTGGCTTCCCAAATATAGACTGCTTCACATATCAGATAAACAAATCAGATATCCCAAATAAATACTTCATTATGTCTATTTTGTGTATTAACAGTGTATTATTTTGTGATAAGTGATAACAAGACCCTGATGTAACATATCAATTCATTTTCTTATCTATACATACCATCTAGAAATAAGTTCAGAAAATAAGTCAAAGATCCCATAGCATTATTACAAATATTACCAAAAAAAAACTAGGCCATAAAGAATTGTGCAATGTTTTCTTCAGCTAAAATCATTAGATGTTTTAAAAAAGATTGTTTATTCAAGAAATTATTTCAACATTCACACAATGATTGATCTTCTTTTATTTTTAAATTCTAAATTTTCTATTAATTTCACCCAATTCCATTTTTAGTATCCATTATCCTTTTTTTCCCCAATCAAATTGCATTGATATATTTATCTCTATTTTTAATCCTTATAGATTCTCAAGTATCATTCTGTAGCCTTCTACAATCTCGAATCTTTAGAAATATATCCATATAGCTTAGGAAATGCAAGGTTGCAAATAATGTCTCACTTTTCTTCTCCCTGTCTCAAACATCTTCAAAAAAAATTTTAACATCTGGAGATGCTAGCAAAGGCCCAGAGTTCAATCCCAGTACTAAAGAAAAACAAGAAAAAAAAAAAAACTAATTTAGTCATTTCAGTATTCCTAAGTAACCAAAATGGTATCGACAATAAACATACAATGATATAAATCCTCTAATTACTCATTCAAAACTAAATGTAAAGGATGATCATATAAATCTAAATGCTCATAGAGTGAGACAGCCTTGGGTCTCTACTAGAATGTTTTCATAACAAATAGTAGGTGGTCAGTATAGCAAAAGTATTAATACATATGCTGAGTATGCAAACTGGGATTCATTGACAGTCTTAAAATGACTCATTTTTTCTTTACATTTGTACTAGCCATTCATATTCTTATGTTTCTAATCCTGCTTTCATTTACCCTCACTGTTACCTCAATCAGGTAGATTAAGGCAGTGCTTTGGGCAAGAGGTGCCATATCATGGCATTCTTCCTAAGCTTTGTAAACCAAAATGTAAATTGAATTTCCAAGGCTCAAATGTAATGTGTATTTGGGAAATTCTAAATAGCAATGGATATGAACAAAAGTACAACTTAACAGAAAGGATTATATCATGCAAGAGACAAACCATTCCTTCCAAGATTTTTCAGAACAAAAGTGAAGGTACATGGAATACTCAACCTTCATCTCAGCTGTATTTTTATCAACACCCCAAAATGTCCAAACTTAACCCTATCAAAATATTAAAATATATCTCTATCCAAATTTAAACACTTTAAAAATTCCACATCAATTCCAAGCCATATGTTCTCAAACCTAAGCTGAAATACAAATCCACATCTATTATACAGCTCTACTCATTTGATATTATTTAAATGGTTTTATATTTCAAAACAGCACACTTTTAAAAATAAATAGATCAAATGTTGCTCCAGCAACATAATATGTTAACCTATTATAAGTAGAAGAACTACTTTTGTCTGTAACTATCATTTAATTTGACTTCAACATTTGTGGTCTTAGTAACTAATAGTGGCCTAGAAAAATCACCACATAACATGAGACACTAAATTGTTTACAAGATCACACTGTTCACTCAAAATTATACATGTCCCATAATTTTCTTTGCCTCACAAAAACAGTACTAAGGAAACAATACAAATGTTTCTTATTCTAATATATGTGCAATGCAAAAATTAGGGAGCAAAAATGGTACTGATAAAATTTCTATAGTACCAAGCAAAATGCATGTTAAAATGACTTTATAAAACTGTATATATACAAACATAAAACTCAAAGCTAAACTTCACTTTAATAACACCTTAAAAATGTAAAATGACAATTTTAAAAAAGCATTTTAAAATGAGAATCATGTAATATAATTATGTAAAAGATTCTAAGTTTATCTCTTTTTGTGTATGAATTTTTTTCATGTTGGCTTTTCATCATTGCACAGTAAAACACACACTGTACATTTAACATTGTAAAGATGATTTCCAGATTACTGTATAGTATTTATTTGTATTTTTTTATTAATGACTCTTAGGCTGACACTTCATCAAAACTCATGTCTAAGACTGCCACCAAATATAACTAGATGCCAATCAACAAAAGCCTTATGTTATAAATTATACTCTTTGGTTCTTGAAAATATCAAGCATTAATAGTAGCAGAGAAAAAAACGTAGGTTTTAGTGCCAAAAAATGCTCACAAAACCATCCACCCTAGGGATCATTAATTTATGAACTAGGTTTTCTCACTTTATTTTATAAACCCAGACTTTCTAAAACTGTGTATGAAATCACAAAAAATCCCCTTAAAAGAGGCTAGTACTTGTATCCACTACTGTAGTAATAAATAAACATACATAGATAGATTCACCCTTTAGAAGCAAAGGTATCATTAAGCACAGATATACTCAGTCTTTAGGGCAAAAGGAGTAATTTAATCAAATGGATTAAAACATTTATTAGAGTAATAAAATGCCTATCTTCACAAAAGCACATGTGCTACAGCACACAAAAAAAAGAAGAAATAATGCCTAACCTGAGTCACCTCTGTCTCCTGCCTCCCAAAATAACCCCACCTCAACTCTCACCATCATCAAAACTTCATGGTCCAGGAAAATGAACTTGGGAGAACATGGAAGGCACTGATACCTAGCAATAAAAACAGAGTATGATTTCCAAATGTATCTGCTTCTTTCTGCTCCTCTCCAGCAACCTCCCCCGTTTCTTCACAACTAAAGCATGGAAGAAAGAAACTTAGCTGACAAAGAATCTTTAAATCTATTCTTCACATTAAGATAAACTACTAATTAAAAATGAAGAGGACCTGATACATTTTAAGAATGATATTTACATTGAGATATACAAAATGCTATTAAACATACAAATCTGAATGTAGTTCAAAACTTTTATAATTATAAACAAAAAAGCACTCAAAAATAATCTTTAAAAATAATAATTACACTCTTCCTACTAAGTTGGTAGAAGAGATACAGAAGAATATATAGTTTTTCCTGAACTTAATTAAGCAAAACTGCTTCTTCTTTTCGCATTTCCTATTGAAAAATTCTGAGAAGTTTACTTTTCAAATTACCAGTAAAGTAGAATTTATGAACATACTAATTTCTTAACCAAATAATGTAACGAGTTTTCTATGAAGCCTGAATTAAAAGAGTAATTATCCAAGTAAAATCATATTCAGAAAAAAAGAAAGAAAAACAGTAATTATTACCAATGAAGAAATATAAAATAATACCAGTATGGATAATACCATACTTCCAGATTAAGGCCCCAAAGAAATCTTAAGATCCTCTGAAGCTGCCCAGATCCTAACAAGATTTTAGCCCTTTTCAAAAATCAGTTGGACAGTATGAGGAAAGAAATAGATTAAGGCTTTAAATAACTGCGGAAGAAATGTTTAAAATATGAAGCCAATAACCCTAAACCTAAATTACTTTTATTATTTCTCATCCTGCCTCCCACCCCACTGCCTATCCACACAATTAGGAAATGATGCCCTCTTTTAAATATCTCACTGTTAAACAGCAAGCAGAAGCCCCAACTGTCAGATATTTGTCTGGCACACATACGCAGAGAAGCTGGCTTCAGCAGAAGTTCAAGCTGTGAGGCTCAGCTAATTCCTATGTGGGTGAAGAAATCAGGGCATTTGACAACTGCTCTATACAGAAGCCACTTAAATGGTGGAACCTTCTGAGTCTGAGCCATCAGTATGGTCACTGAGAAATCAATAGACTCTGGATTTTTGTTGTTCTTATCAGAAAAAAACAGGCAAGCAATATGGTAGCCCTTAAGACCATAGGTAAAGCAAATACCAACTCCTGACTCCATATTATTGGCATAGCTCCCTTTTCTTAGTTCCATGGAATCAGACTATCAGTGTGCAAATGGCTTTCAATATCACACTGTCTTACTGTTTCATTTTACAGATGGAGAAGCGGATACCTACAGAGTTTTAATGAAAAGCCTAAGGTTTTATACCTAGTAGCAAATTGAGTAACTTTGTTTTCTCCTTTTACCCTTCTTTCACTGGCACTTCTGAAGTTCTTTCTCAGTCAGTCTCTCTCCTTTCTTTTATCATTTCTGAATTTATCTGTCTCCTCTTACCAACTAATGCCCACCCCCTCCTTTTTTTCAGGTCAACTGCCTTGTTCTCTTACTGTTCCTGGCTTAGTTCCAATTATCCTATATGCATTTTTGCCTAAACAGGAAATACCAGGAACCTCTGGGAATCTTTGACCAGGCACTTGGCAAACAGTACTGACTAGGTACTACTATTTCCAATAGAAGTTACAAAGAAGAATCCAGAAGTTAAAAGTCAGCAATAGGCAGGCATATATGATTGTGGGAATACATTTTTGTTCTTGAGATTAACCCTAAAGTACTTACTTTGCCAGAAGTCATGTATACCCAGGACTATGAAGGGAAACATGAATCAAATCTACACACAGGTAACATCATTAGTAAAACAAGGTTTTGTATTTGTTCAACGGGGCATTCAGACTGCAATTAAGAAAATAATAGGTGATTAGAAATCATATAATCTTTCCGTGTAAATTACATTTCTTAGTCTATTTCTAAAAGTTCCCTAGAAAATGTATCATATTCATCGCTAGAAGAAAGCAAAGGACATAAGTGAGTTGAGAGTCAGTCTGACTTATATGTTTGGATTAATAATCTATACAAATATTGTAAAGAAGATCACACAACTAACTTGACATTTTAACAACTAATTCTCTTATTAGTAGAGAAAGATAGGAGCACAAAAATGAGAAGGGCAGGGCTGGGGATTTAGCTCAGTGGCATAAAGCATCTGCCTTGCAAGCCCATGGTCATGAGTTCGATCTCCAGTACCAAAAATAAAAATAACAAAAAAAAAATGAGAAGGGCAGGGCTGGGGATTTAGCTCAGTGGCATAAAGCATCTGCCTTGCAAGCCCATGGTCATGAGTTCGATCTCCAGTACCAAAAATAAAAATAACAAAAAAAAATGAGAAGGGCAGGCAAAAAGCTTCAACAGTATACAATGCTTCAAGAAAGAAAGATGACAGAATCAGATATGTTTATCATTTGGAGTATATAAACCATATTTCCAGTTTGAGAACATTCAGGACTATTTAAATCATTCTAAAATGAGACAAACATTTCATTCTTAATCAAATGGCTCAAAAAAAAAAAAAAAAATCCAGAAACATAGCAAATTACCAAATAGCAACTTTAAATATAACAGCCAACTTGAAAAAATGTTGTTTTAAACATTTTTAACATCCAAAGAAAGGAAGCCAAACATGATATTTTCCCAGTTTAATTTCGTATTATGTTATACTGGATCACGTTCCAAGGCTGTGCTACATTCAAAATAGAGATTAAAAATTACTCCAAAATTCCTTATTGCTGTAAGTTTGTCAGTGATGACCTCACACATTTTTCTATCATTAGTAAATAATAATACTAAGCAATATAAAATTGTAGTATAATTCTTTGATGAATTACACTTTTTAAACTATGCTATTTTTACTCATTATTATATGATAATGACTACCTTTAATATAATGTTTATAAATATGGCTCAAAATGTTTCAATGAATTCATATAGAATATGTGAAGAAAATATAAATGACAATGACTTGGTCTGTGGAGGACCATTCTACATAACTGCTGGGGGAAAAAAGAACAATGGGAAATGTAAGAGATAACGAAATAGTACATCACTGATTCTTATTCTGATGTCCCTAGATCAAGAGAGTTGTACAAACATAGTAAAAAGAGCTCATCCTGATAAAGCTACAGAGTAAAACTAAAATGTAACTTTGAAATAGCATTCTGTAAATTCAGGGAAGTAACAAGACTAACTATTCAATGGTAATCCAAACTGGAACTGATAGCTTCATTACGTTGATTTTTTAAAAGTGGAAGAAAGGGAATAATTATTTAATGATTGCAGATTAGTGGGCAGTATTTTAGAATTTCAGTCCCATTAGAAAACAGGTAGTTCAAGGAGCATATTAAAAATAGTTCTTCAGAGATAAAAATATTAGAATAGGTATCTTCCCAGATTTCATACTAAAAATAGCTAACTGGGTCTAACTATATATCCTAAGGTAAATACTGACCAAATGACATCACATAAATGCTTTTTTAATCATCATTAAACACCACAAACAAGATACTGTTGCACTGACCCTTTTTTAAATGAGAAAATTGAAGGTAAGTGAAGGCAAACAATTTGCCCATGGTTCATGTTCCTAATAAGATTATCTGAAATCTGACTCCAAAGCCTGTGTTCTTAGCCTATAATAGTGTTATCCCATCTATTTAGTGATACACTAAATGCAATTCAGTTTTTAACTGATTCATTTCATTAAGTACATCCTGTAATTTGATATGAAATATAAGCTTCAAATTTTAATCACTACATTTTTAAAGACAAATGCACATCTATTTAGTATATGAGCTGCCAAAGTGACACAAAACCAGAATTTTAAAATATTGTTTCTCTGCCTGGCAAGCACAAGGTCATGAGTTTGATTCCCAGTACCAAAAATAAAACAAAACAAAAATTTTTAAGATATTGTTTCTTTCTCCTGATGTTTTGGATTCTTTGAGGCATTCCAACACATGAATTATTATGCCTTATAATGCTATGTTTTAAAAATATCAAAACTGGTTGATTATAGTTGAATGTGGTATAATGGTACAGCTATTTCCATTTCCAAAGATTAAAATGTGTGTAGGATGTAACTACACCTTCCGAGGTTTGAGGAAGACACCACTGTTTCAATACTTGGCTCTTAGAAGACATGTTGTTATGAAAAAAGGATCAAGGATGTAAGAAGCACCCACAACAACTGGGCTCGACAGTTTTAAAAAAATCTCTAGCTGAACAAGATTCAGATACAGATAGCCACTCTCAGCTTAGAAGTACATGGTTCAGTGTAAAGCAGAAACTCAATTTTTCTGATAACAGACTATTCTAACCAGACTATTCTAACAGTAGGAAACAGGAACTAAATTATTTAGAAAAAAATTAATATTATCTTATTATTGCTGATTAATTAGCCTGCTAAGTAGTACAAGCACTTATGCTTTTCAGATGTGGATCTTTTAAACATTACACTATAAAAGGATCACTAATTATGCTATATAAAGTTATAAGAACTACAACATAGCAGTATGTGTCAACAAAATCATTCAAGAATACAAACCCACATTGCCAAAGGTATGATTTTCAATTCAAATTAAATTTTTGAGGTAGAGATTGAAATATCTGCATAAGATGATGAATGTACTCACCTATAAAACTAATGCAGACATTAAGACTACGTCAAAGATACCACTCTTGATACTGTTCTATGTTGTGCTAATATATAATATCTAAATACAAGGATAGGAATTGACATAAAACTACCAATTAAGACAATATATTAAAACTTAAAGTCCATAAAAATACGGTTATTATATACCTGAATGCATAGATAATCAAATTTTTTCTTTAAATAATAGATTTAATCAGTTCACATTTTTAGTGATAATTTCATGAAAACAGCACAGCACCCTCTGGTGCATCTGTTACAAGATGTATAAAATCCCCACAAAGAAAGAAAGAAGTATGAAGTAAAAACAAAAATAAATCTTTGAAATCAATAGATTTATACCCTTTTATTTATTCCAGTGCACATTTTTGAACACTAATGCTTAAAAGCATTTCTATTTTAAAAGGTCACTATAAATTTTATAGCAATTAAAATAGGTCAGGAAATGATTAGTTTTAACACACTGAACCAACAAAAAATAAAACCAGTTTCCAACATATATCACTCATGTTAAAATAATGCTGTCAGAGAAACTCTTGAAGGGATGGAAGAGTTTGCTACGTTATCCAAATTCAGCTTATTCAAATCTACCTGGATTTTTTACTTCAAATAAATTTGACTCTTGAGTGAGTAAACTACTGCTATACACTTTTTCAGAATTCAAAAAGAATTTACCACTTTTTTTGTAAGAAGTATTTTGTAAAAGGTCCTGCAATTTCTACAGATGAAAATACAATAATATTCAGAAATAAAAGCTATGTTAGTTAAATGACAAATGTGGAGTAGTTCAAAGATTAATTGTTCAAAACTTTTACTTAAGAAATAAAACTCCTTCCTAAGAAAATAATTAACTCTAAAAGATCTTACCAAGGACAAAAGCAAAGGATGCCACCTGCTTTAGACAGTCCTTTTGTGGACCTCTAGTAGTCCCAACACAAAGCAGTAAAAATGAAAGTGACACCTGTTTAAAGCAGCCATCTGTCCCTAACAAGCTAGATTTAGTCAAATCCACTTAATCTAGGATTTCCAAAATATGGGAACACTATGCACCTGTGAACAGAAAGGATTAAAAACCCATTTAGCAATGTCCCCGGGAACATATACTGAAGTGTTGATACAGGCAAGGGATTTGGTCAGGAAAATAATCTTGAAAGAAACTGAGAGCAAATAAAGGCTATTTAGCCAGTGCACAACACAAAAATAAAATAAACAGCACACTTCGTAATTAAGTTTACTTGTTTGGAATCCTCATTTCTTGTAACATATTCTTTCTACAGATATCAAGAAAGTAACATCCTATGAGACTGCTAAGGGAAAAAAATGTAACTCTTCTCACATATCTGATACTATATTCATCTTTTAAAGGCACACATACACACATATTTTAAATTTAGATAAGCAAAATTATGGTCCATCTACTGATCTTAAGTTGGAAGACCAGAAGTATGCACACATAACACCAACTTAATAATGAAAAATGTTACACAAAAGTAACATTTTCAAACAATGCAAGCAATTTATCTTAAGAGTCATTCATTTTAATTATTACTTTAATAGTAAACAATTTAGCACAATAAATTTGTTCAAAGTCAAAAAAATTAAGGTTAAAATATATTAACCTTATAACTTTAAACCTTTTTTTTATTTAAAGTACCTAAACAGAATGCAAGCCTATTTGAGTACTGGAAGAATAACACTATATTTTAGAAATTAGGAATAACTAGTTCTATGTAATGAAAACATTGTGAAATAAATTACAAAATTTCAAAGAATGTATTAATTTACTATATATTTACCATATACCCTATATCTATACTCTATACTGTTTAATATAATTCACAGACAAAACAATCCAAAAAAGTCTGAAATAAGCATTATAATACATATTCAATCACAGGCATTCAGTGCCTCAAAACAAATTATTGTTGAACAGTTTTAGTTTCAAAGTATACTCACTATCACAGATTTCTATTAGTCTAAAACTGAAAACAAAGAATATCAATACAGAACAGTATTTCCTAGGAAAAACATTCAGAAAGAATCAACTAAATGCTAAGTATTTTTCCCTGTAGTTAATTTTAAACATCATTTGTTAGTATTTCTGGTTATTAGTCGATCCAGATGAATAATTTCAATTTACCTGAGCCCAAAGTATCTCTATCAACAATTTTTACACCACAGTTACACTTGTAACCACGGTAACAATACGAGTTCTGTTCTCAGATTAACTTGTGAACAAAAATGTAAATTTTAGAAAACCTGGGGAGGGTAGGTATGTAGGTAGGTAGGGAGTGAAATGCCTCAGAAAGTTCTTGGGCACTGCAAATAAATACGTCAAACCATAACATTACAGCATATATAATCTATTTGACTAAAAGGCTATTTAAGTGGCACAAGATCTAAAACTATCCCAAGATACAAAACTCCTATTAACTTCAGAAAGTTTATAGAACTCTCGAGCTTCATCATCCAAAAGTGTTCAGGCATTTGACACTCATCTGAACAGGGAAAAAAACAAGTTAGTATTAGAGATTTGCATGGAATGCAGGTTGCACAGGGGTGAATAACTATAAAAAAAAAAAACTAAGTGTTTTGAGAAAGACTTCTTTAAGAACAAAATATCATCTTCATTTGAAATAGCAATCACAAGAAAATGAACTGCAAGAAAAGTTTTTAAACTCCCAACTCTTCATAAAATATTAGCCTTAATAGCATTATAATTACCCCAACCTGCTCACTGGCAATCTCAAGAATAATTAATACTGTCACGTTATTCACAGGCTATTCTGTCAGTTAAATCAATATGTTTGCTGTGAGGGGAAAAAAAGACAGTATTTTTAAAATCTACCTTGGAAACTTCAATAAGTGCAACTACAATGGCACATTTATATTTGTTTTAGCACACGTTCATTATCAAAACTCTTCCCAAATAATCTAGTAATTAAAAGTTGGACAAAAAAATGAACAAAATTAAAGGATCATCAAGAACTCTACTACTTGAGAATAGGTATCCAAAACTATACAGAACAATAATAAAAGAATGATAAAGAGGAAGCCCTCTTCTGAGCAGGTTTAAGCTACTATCCAAAGAAAACCAAAAAGTAAATAAAAAAAGAGTATGTTAAGTACACAAGTCTAGATCTTAACCACAAAGAAAGTGAAATATACACACGTTTCAAGTTGAGAAGCTTCATGCATTCTTTATGAACAACTTGACTTCAATGTCAACTCTCAAAGGGAAACGAACAGAGATGAGGAGGGAAGGAGGAAAAAAAAAAACTCTTGAAGTACCATAACTGTCACGAATAACACTGAACTGAGTTCTCACAAAGCTTCCTTGTGTCCTTTCCCTGTTCATCACACACAAGAGTCTCACAATCACAATGAAAATTGTTAATACTCTACTGTGGGAGGGAGGTTCATCAAAGTGAAAAGGAACCTCACTACTACCCCTCCCATCTCCACAAGAAGGATAAAGCACTGTCAATAACTACTAACCCAAGTATCAAAGATGCCCTGCATCCGGTTTAAATCACAAGCGCGCACACACACCAAAAAGGGGAGAGAGACCGAGGGACTGACTTTTAAAAAAAATGTCTTTCCCAGTGCTCCAGAGCCCAGCGAAGAGGCCCCTGGTTGGGGGGAGGGGGGGTGCCGAGGGGGAGGACAGAGTGCTGAGTGGATATTAAGACTGTTTGCAGCACAAAGAAAATACAGTTTTAAAAGAAAAAAAGAAAAGCAAACCGTGAAGCTGATGGTGGTCAAAGAAGAGCAGCTCATTTAGCACCAGGCAAAGAGGGGCACAAATGAAGGAAAGAGGCGGTGGGAAAAGTTCACCGATGTACGAGGAGGGAAAAAAATAATAATAACCCCTAACGAGGCCCCACAAGTCAACAACAACAACAACAAAACACCACCTCTCGGTCCCCCCCCCCAACGCTGTTGTCCATTGCTGTTTTGAAAGAAGCAGGAAACAAGCACCTTTCCAAAAAGAGGCAAATTAAAGAAAGAAAAATGCTTATCTCTTCACCTGACCCTCCTGCTCACACCAGACCTAGGGGCGAGCGCCAGCATCCGCAGCGGGGACCTGCGGCTCCCTCTCCCGCTCGGCTCGCGGCCCCCCGCGCTCCCGCTCCATCCCTGAAGCGCGGCCGGAGCCGGCGGCGGGCGGGAGGGCAGGCGGCGTGGCGCCCACACCCGCGACCGCCGGGCGCGCGGGGTCCATTGTAAACAAGCCGGGACCGAGCCCCTCGCAGCCGCGCCGCCGCCGCAGCCCGGTGTCAGGAGTGAGACCCGCACAGCCGCGCTCCGCTCGCACACACGAACACACACACACACGCACGGACACACGCGTCCACACGCATCCACACGCTCCCACACACATGTAGAGACCGAAGAATATTCACCTTGGCTGTGGATTATTGTGGTGTTGTTGGTGGGTGATGGAGATGGTGGTGGTGGGGAGGAGGAGGAGGAGGAAGAGGAGGAGGAGGAGGAGAGTAGTTGTTGTTGATGGGTAACAGTCGCCAGGACTACGGTGACTATGGCGCTTGATTCACAAGGCAACGGTTGCTATAACTCACAAAAGAGAGAGAGAGAGGGAGAGAGAGGGACGAGAGGGAGAGGGAGACACTCGCACGGGGAGGGGTGGGGGAGGGAAGAGGGGAGGAGGCGGGCCCGGCCGAGTCGCCGGAAGAGGCGGGCTCAGCGCCGTGACTGACGGCCTCCGAGCCCGGGCGGGACGGGATTCCGATATAGGGTTCTGGAGCCGTGCGTTTAGGCTTGGCCACAGCTGGGGTCACTAAGAGACCTCTCGGAGGAATGAGCACCCGCGCTGGCGAAGATGACGAGAATTTTTACGGTGGTGGTGCGAGGGTTATTTTCAGTGAACGGGGATTGCCTGTCCGAGCAACCAGCTATGCGCCGAGAATCCCCAGTGCCATAAGAGGGTAACGGCTAACCCAGGAGCGGGGGTAGTCAGGGCGACTCCAGGCACTTGGTGGAGGAGCGAGTTATGGCGGGGGAAGAATCCACTTTGAAGAACAGCTCTCGCCCCGCCCCCTCCAGAAACGTCACTTCCGGGGCTGGCCCGACGGAGGGCCCGGATGTGCGGCTCCTGTTTCGTATTAGAAGTGGCGGTGGCGGTGTCCTGTTTGCCTTTGCCTCCTGACTTTTTTCTTTTCCAGGCTATTTGGGGCCTTCGCTGGACTGGAGGGTCGAAGCTGCTATCAGTTCTGTTTCTCCCTAGAACACTCCCGCCTTCTGAAGCCACAACGCCGGGGAGCGCGGGCAGCGCGGCGTCGGAGAGCTGCCTCCGCCGCCATCTTAGCGAAGGCGAGCCCGGCGCGCGCCTGGGCACCCGGCCGGCCTCCCTTGGTCCCCCCGCGGCGTAGCGCGCAGAGGTGAAGGTCCGAGCGCGTCTGGCCCTCACTGGAGAGCGAAGAGGCAAGGTCTTCACTCCCTACCCTACAGGCTGGGAGTAAGTGCCAATAAGGGGCAAGAATGTGCTCCCTTGAGAGGATGAGAAAACCCACGGCGGTTCCGCTCAACAAAGGGTGGGATAACTTACACTTGCTTGGGATACCATCCTAGGCTTCTACTTCCCCATCTTCAGCCCTTAAAAACTACCCGAGTAGATTTGAGCTAAATCCTACTCTCACCGCCTTATTTGAAAACCACTGTAGCTGGGGACCACTTACTGTTCTGCTACACGGTCACTGTGGACTGAATAGTCTGGACTCAGACAATCTGGCATCTTGAACACCCGTTGATAATGCAGACTCTAGTACTTAAATGGTTCAAACGTATTTGCCCATTTCTCTGCACACAGGAGTCCAGCAGGCACGTGCCCCTGGGCCCTGGCAATACCCAAAATCTTCCCAACATTTGCAGCTAAGCAGCTTATACAAGACAATAACGTGTTAGAAGTAGAGCCTTAGGAAGTCAGTTCTCTTGAAGCTTAATTTATGCACCTGCAAATAAGGGATTTCGGCCAGCATGAGTTCACCAGTGTTAAAATAATGCTAAACTCTTTTCAGAGTCCCAGACCTTGTGCTAAGTGTTTTGCATACATTATCTCATTTAATCCTGACTCCAATACTGTTTTAGGTACGTGATACTATTCTCCTTTTAGGAAACACAAGCAAAGTTCTAAAAGTCAGTGGTTGTATTTTACGTCTGTCATGAAACATGCGATAAATGCATTTTAAAACCAACTATTGAAAGATTTAAGAAAGTAATATTGTTGCCTGTGGTAATCTCTAATGAGTTTATAAATGTGCTTAAAACAAGTTACAATGTAGCAGTGCTAGAGTTAGGTTTCACGATCCATTGTCAAGTAACAAAGTGGTGCGCCCCCCCATTAAACTTTAAATTTAGCATATTCACTTTACTTTTACAGATAAAGTCCTCTGTTTCTACAATGTTAGGGGTGCTTGTTAACACTGTATAGTTCTGAATAGCTTTGCTTTTTCAGTTCTTTTGTCTTAGTTTGCCAGTCTTCTCACTGTCAGCTGTTGCTTCTTGTTGCTATCAATGAACATAGTTCTATTATCCTCTCCTGCCTTTTAATTTACTGCTTTTAATCTGCAGGCAAGAAAACCACATAATGAGGCTTGTGCAAAACTGTCAAGTATAAATAGGTACTTTGAGGGAGTGTCCCTTAGAAAAAGTACGATCTTTGTGCTAGGTTATTGTAACACTGATTTAAAGCTGATTAAATACATATTTGCCTACTTGATAGTTTGGTCTTTTCCTGAGTTAGGAATAGATTTTTTTTTTTTGTAAAGTTAAAATTTAGAATATTTTCCCATTTTAAGGTAGTGGACATCTTCATAGTGAGGTCAGTAGGAATATTTCAGTGTTACTATCACACTGCATCAAATAACCAAACTACCAATCCAAACTACAGAATCAAAATACAGGTACTATATACATTTACTATTTTATACTAGAATTAGTTACAAACAGGCCAAGAAAACCCTTTGCCTCTGCTCAATTCTGGTAGATTTTCTTTTGCATCATGTTTTAGAAGCTAGATGATTGTATCTTCATATATTTTAAATTTACTTATTAAATCACAGAAAAGACCCAACAGACCCACTATTAATAGTTACTACAATTTAAAACACTGTAGACTCAAAAATACCTAACAAAAAACTACCATACATATCTTGATAAAGTCAATAAGTTGCCATTATAGTAATTATTTGCTATAATGTAGCAGCATACTTCTGATCTTTAAAATGCCAAAGTTAATTGTCTTGTGATTTTAATGTGGCCTTTAAGCATGTTTTTTCTGAAATTAGAATTATTGGCAGAGGTTTAAGATTTACATATTTGTATCTAAACCACTTGAAGAAAAGTTCAAAGCCCTGATTATATGTGTATAGATTTTAAACTTTATAAATTACTGTAGCACATTCTTAGGAGTAAATTTATTTTTTAGTTATTGTGTACTAGAGTATTTTCCTTACTGCATATTTAAGGACTAAGTTATTTTGATATTAATGCCTAAAAAAGGAAAAGATGCTAATGAAAAGTTAAAATATAGATATGCCATAATATTGCTTCAAAAAATTGTGTATCTGAGTTTTGAAAATCAATATATTCTGTGTCAGCTGACTTGAATTTATGGTCAGTCTTTTTAATAAAGTAGAAATCTCATTTAAAAATTTTTTCATTTGATTAGAACATTCTGTTTTCAATTGAGAAACACAGAATCTTAGTCCTCATGTGAAATGAATGGTTTTATTTCTATGAGTATTCATTAAGCACTTATGCAGAGCACTTGAAAATTAGACTACTAGATTACTAATTGCCTTCACTGGATCTGAAATTCTGTGGATGTGTCATAATGACAAGAGGCTGACAGAGGCAAAAGTAATTCAAAACTGTAAGGTTGGGGATCCAATACCCATCGTGCGCGCACACACAAAACCTACATAAATTGCTACTATTTCCTGGTGGGGGTAGCACCCCTACCAGACCCACCTCCACCTAAAATATATTGTGGTTTTGAAAGCAATACAATAAATTTTTGTTATCTTTCTGATTGTGTTACAAACCAGCTGATTGTTCAGCTATGCTGAATTTCAAAAAAATTACATATTTTTTGTTGGAATTGAGTTTTTATCCCAGCACAGAAAAATAATTGAATTAAGTGACTGTCTCTTTATTCAAGATGAAAGCAAATTATCTTTTCATAATATACATACTTTTAATTAGTTTAGAGTATCAAATACCATATTTGCAACATAAAAACTAAATGTATGAAAATGACCCAAATGTTGGTCAGTAGTAGGAGAAAAAAAAGATACATTTATACAGTGGAATACTATTGAGCAATTAAAAAGAAAAGATTGCTAATACACAAAGAGAATAAATCTGAAAAACATGTTCAGCAAAAGAAGCTATGCAGACCTGCATATGGTGATGCATACCTATAATCCCAGCACCTTAGGAGGCTGAGTTAGAAGGATCACATATTTGAGCTCGACTTAGGTAACATAGTGAGACCCTGGCTCAAAAAATAAAAAAGACCTTGAGATGTAGCTCAATACAAATGTCTTGGCTTCATTCCCTAGTACTGAGAGGAGCTAGACAAGCAAAGAGCAAGTATAAATCCACGTATATGAAGTAAAAGAACAGAAAAAGCTATTTCCTTAGTAACAAGAATAAGTTACTATTTCCCTATGATGGGGGTGGGACAACGAAGTGGGATTTACTGGAAAAATAAGAGAGTTTTGTGGGTGTTAGTAATGTTCTGCACTCTCCGAGTTGGTAACCAACTCACATGTTGCTATTAAAATCTGTAAATTAAAATGTAAATTTTACTTTCACAACCATATGAGCTGCATTTTAGGCACATTACTGCCACGTGACTTGGCTACCCTGTTAGGTTGTGCATGTACAGAAAATTTCTCTGATTTCAGAAGCATTGCTACACAGTGCTGTTACAGATTTTGTCTTACATCGTTTTATATAAGTGCTTACATTTGTCAAAATTACAATTAGTGAACATATATATATTATTATATGGCAATTATACCTGTCTTCAAACCTTAGAAATCATTCATTGATATGTTTACTATATTACCAGTTTGACTTTTCCTAATAATTTTGTTCATTACAGAGAAATTATATATGGCGTAATAATTATCCTTGGCAAATTTTCAAAAATGTAACTGCCATATGGTAGATCAATTTTTGTTTTCAAAGAAAAAAATCTATTACTTTGCAATCCTGAATACATATACAAGTGAATTTCTTTTGAAGGTTTACAGTGAAGATCCAAGTAGTTATGGAGAATTTTTCTTCAGAGAAATTTCAGTATCTTAACACATGAGAGAAATCATAATCTTCTGCAATACATTTAGGAGTACTTGGGAGATTCAGTGCTCAGATAGGATGAGTAAATCAAGTAAACTGTCCAGTTGACGCTGAAGATTCAAAGGTTTTTGGATGTGGAAGAAAAAGTTTATAAATCTTTGATAAAAATCTCAGTGACCTCAGTTTTAAAATACTAATTTTCAAGTATCTTATGACAACATATGAATTGGTTCAAAATATTAAACATGTATGTTATACATTAAAATTACAAAATTTTTAAGTACTTTAAAGTTAAGTATCTCTACCAACATTTCTTAAGAATTTAAGGAACTT